ACATGGCCTTGAGTGTCAGGCACCACTCTCTATCCCACATCTCACTTCTTTATTCCTCCCTCTCCCTTTAACTGAGGAGTCCCCTTGGACCTATTTTCCTTTCCTTGCGATTATTGCACTTCACCATTACCTCCTCTTCTATTTTTCTCCACTTCCCAAGCCTCCCTACCTTGTGAACCTCCTTGGTACAGTCCCACCCTCTACACCACTCTGGGCAAGGTTGGTGGTGACTCCCATGTTTATAAAATGTAAGCCCTTGGGGCTTCCCTGGTGGCGCGATGGTTGAGAGTCCGCCTGCTCATGCAGGGGACGCAGGTTCGTGTCCCGGTCCGGGAAGATCCCACATGCCACGGAACAGCTAAGCTCGTGAGCCATGGCTGCTGAGCCTGCGCGTCCGGAGCCTGTGCTCCGCAATGGGAGAGGCCACATACCGAAACAGTGAGAGGCCCGCATACCGAAAAGAAGAAAAGAAGAAAAAAAATTTAAGCCCTTGTCTTTCTTGAGACTGAACTTGATCCCGTTGACCACTCCATTCTTGAAATACTCTTTTTCTTTGGTTCTGTAACATCACTCTCCTGGGTTTCTCTCTCCCTCTTTCTTTTTTTCTAACTTGCTAACTCATCCACTTCTAGTCACCCATTCAGTTTTGAAATTTCTAAATACTTTTCATAGGCCTTTTTCTCACTCTGGTCTCTCCCAAGGCTTCATCTGCACCCTTGGCTTCAGTTATCTTCTTTACTTTGAACAAATTGAAATTTATTTTCCCAGTCCTGACTTATTGGAGCTCTAGACCTGAACCCCTGATTTTCTTCTTACTGTCCCCACTTGGATGTTTCAAAGATGTCTCATTCTCCACTTGACTTTTTAAAGATTCCTAAAGTGGCTTCCACTTCTCCCTGATTCTGATCTACTTTTATTTTTTTTTAAGAATGAGATAAGGCCATGTCTTTATTTTTTTTATTTTTAAATCAAATATTAAGTTTTTAAAATTTATTTTTGGCTGCGTTGGGTCTTTGTTGCTGCGCGTAGGCTTTCTCTAGTTGCAGTGAATGGGGGCTACTCTTCATTGCAGTGCACGGGCTTCTCATTGCGGTGGCTTCTCTTGCTGTGGAGCATGGGCTCTAGGCATGCGGGCTTCAGTAGTTGTGGCTCGTGGACTCTAGAGCGCAGGCTCAGTAGTTGTGGCACACGGGCTTAGTTGCTCGGTGGCATGTGGGATCTTCCCAGACCAGGGCTCGAACCCGTGTCCCCTGCATTGGCAAGCGGATTCTTAACCACTGCGTCACCAGGGAAGCCCCTGATCCACTTTTAGTCTTGCCTCTACACTACATGGCACTGTTTGGTTACCAAGGATAGAAATCCCAGGGGACTTCCCTGGCGGGCCAGTAGTTAAGACTCCAGGTTTCCACTGCAGAGGGCACAGGTTTGATCCCTGGTTGAGGAACTAAGATTCCACATGCCACGCAGCACGGCCAAAACAAAAAAATCCCTTACTCAGCCTGGTTACCTCTGTTTCCTCATCCCCCACATGCAAAGTTGCCAGTTTTGCCTCTTTAATGCCTCTCAAGTCTATCCTCTTCTCTGTAATCCACCACTTCCTTCCTAGACGATAATACCATCATTTATCACCTCTAATTCTGTTTAGTAATTAGGTCTTGTTTTTACCCGTTTCCTCTTCAATCCATTCTCCACAGTGTAACCAGAGATGAAACTCAGATTAGATGATGCATCTCACTCCCTGCTACCTGCCCAACACACACACCGTTAAAATGTTTCATGACTTTCCTTAACTCTTGGGATAAAAACCGAATCCTTAACATAGCCCGTCCATGGGGTCTTACCTGGTAAGGGATGTGCCTAATTTACTGCCTTTTCTCTTGCACGTGTCTGACTGCTCTTCTTTCTCCACTTCCTGTTTCCGTTTCTTTTCATTTTCTCCCCTTCTGTAGGGCTCTTCCTTACCCACTTTGGCTAGTGAGTGAGTGCTTATCCTTCACATCTCACCTCAAATAGCACTTCCCTAGGGAAGCCTTTACCAGAATACCCACCTAGGTCATAACTTTTCTTTTTCAGGGAAACTTTCATGGTTCTTTGCTGCCTAAGACCACCTTCAGGCTTGGTGGTTTGCTCGGAGGATTCACTAGACTCAGAAGAGCTGTGATACTCATGATGACAATTTATTACAACAAAAAGACACAGACCAAGATCACCAAACGGAGAAGGCACGTGTAATAAAGTCCGGGAGAAACCAAGCACCCCTTCCAGGTGATCCCTCCCTGTGCAGTTCACAGGGACTCAAATTTCAGCAAAGATGTGTGACAACATGTTCAGTTATCGCCAACAAAGGAAGGTCACCCAAGCTTCAGAGTCCACAGATTCCTTTACTGAGGCTCGCAGCGCCTAAGTAACCTACCATGGATACTCAGGATCCGCAGAAGGCAAAGATGTAGTGCTGCCTCAGGCAATACAAAGCCCACCCTTCATCATGAGTCACATTGTTAGCATAAATTATCTGGTCATAATGATACAGTGGGACCTACAGGCGTAAGCATAAAAATCACTCTCACTAGTCAAGATATTCCAAGGACTCAGAAGTGGTCTTCCTGGAGCTGGTCAAGGGCAAGTCCTTATTTTTTTCTTTCTTTTTGCCACACTGCACGGCTTGTGGGATCTTAGTTCCCCAGCCAGGGATTGAACCCAGGCCCTCAGCAATGAAAGTGTAGAGTCCTAACCACTGGATCACCAGGGAAGTCCCCCACAGGTACATTTTAGAACACGTTCAGGTGCATATTAGAACCTCGTTACTATGGCTGACAAAGTTCTACACAATTTGCCTCCCTTTATCTCTCCAACTTACCTCATACCACTCTAACCCCTGAAGATGCAGCTCTAAGCCACACTAGCCTTGCTTTTCTGCAAACACCCCAATACACTCCGAACCCAGGAATGTCTTTCTCAAAGACCTAGGAATCCATCTCTTTGAAATGAAGACATCAAAGGAGATAGCATCCCTACATCCCAGCTTCTGTGGGAGGGTAGGAGCCTAACTTTGACAGGCACCTTGCTCCAAGTAGCAAAACTACCTCTGTCATAAAGAATTGAGAAGTTAGTTTTCCCTTCTAGAAAGCCAATGTAACAGCAGATAGTCACCCCAATTACCAGGTAAATTTAGGATGAACTATGTGTAACAAATGGTGCTGTCAATACTTGAGAACTAATTATTGTTTGAAAATGTATGTAATGGGTTGTGTCTGTTTGGCTATATGAAAGGGTGAGTTTTATTCTTTGCAATCTCTTAGCAACTGTGCTGTGCATCACATTCTGGTTTAATGCTTATACAATATTAAACTATTTTATTTCTCTACTATCTTTTCGGAGAGGTTTTTCTGAGTTGGAGATTTTTTCCTTTTTAAATTTCCCCACCAATTCACACTATTACCTGTCTAAAAGAATTCAATTGCAAATGTTTTTGAAATTTCTGTGTATGCCAAACAAATAAATATGGGGGATGGTTTTACTATTTGAGACCCAGAATGCAAACTGATTACTGGGTCCAACAAATACACTTGACCCTTGAACAAAAGGGGTTGAACTGCCTAGGTCCACTTAAGGCAGGATTTTTTCAATAGTAAATGCTATAGCACTGCACCACTTGGGGTTGTTTGAACCCCTCCCTGGATGCAGACCCGCAGATATGGAGGAATCTCAAATACTGATAAGACAAGCTGGGACGTGGGACCATTTGCTGCAGTGCTTGCACCTGGACAAACATCTCCTCCAGCAACAAAATACAAAGAAACTATAAGGGACTAAAAATAACTGCGTGCATGTGCAATTGGGGCAAATTATGAGCAACAAGATACAAAAAGACCAAAAACCCAACTGTCACTTCTGAGGAGCTGGGAACAGAAGCAGGGTACCAGGAGCAAAAACAAGGTACTGGGAGCAAAAACGGTACCGTGCATGCCCCCTGCACACAGCACCACCAAGGAGGTGGGCAGATTACCTAAGCCACCCCTCCAGCCCCACCCCTGGGCTCACCTCGGTTAAGGGCCCAGCCTGCCCCGCTTCAGGGAGCGAGCCAGCGAACCTGCTACTTGTTTTCTCCCTCCTGCTGCAGGAGTCCCAATAAAGCCTTACCTGAATTTCTCCTCAGGCCTCATATCAATTTCTATTGATTAGGGAGTCCAAGAACCCTGGTGGTAACACTGAGGGCCAACCATAAGTTATATGCTGAAGGTCAGCACCCTTAAATACCACCCCCGCCCCATCCCGCTTGTTCAAGGATCAGCTGTGCTGTAGTAAGTACATGAGACAGGAGGGCTGAATGCAGCTGTGGTCCGTGCCCCCACTTCAAGTGGCCCGGGCAGTCCTGGGCTGGGGGAGGCAGGTGTATTGGGGGAGGGCACACAAGCCACAGGATACTGGGGGACAGAGGCACAAATTTCGGGGAGCTCCACAGTGGTGACCCTCACATAAGCGAGTGACTGAGGAGGACCCTGGGGAGCGGCCTGAATAGGACACGTCCTTCAAGCTGGGGCCAGTTGGGCTGCACGTGGTTCTGGAGTTTGCCAACTGCATAACGTACCCCGGCAGCTTCCTACGGTTGGTTTATATTCAGTCACACCTCCGTCACGTCACTGAGTTCGTTAAAGCAGTCACTCAGTCACGGATTTATATGTTTGCTCATTCATTCAGGCTTCTTGCATTACAGACTCTCCACACCCCTCCACCCTCTCTCCCCTTCCGGTTTCTGGCGCTCCCTCCTCTCGTGTCTTTCTGCCCCGGCTCCCGCCTTCCGCGCCCTGCCCTCTCATTGGCCCAGCGCCTTAAGTCCCGCCCCGCAACCACGGGCGGGAGCTCTCATTCCTGTCTCTTCTATTGGGCACGCTGCCTAAGCCTCAGACATTTCTACCAGTGGGAGTCAACCAGGAACTACCCGCTCAGCCAATGGGGCCAGAGCACTTAGTATAAAGGACCTGGGCCGCGTTGTTCAGGATCTTATCTAATTGAGTAGTGGGTCTGTGCGCAGGTGAGCCTCAGGGGAGCCCGCAGGCGGTGCTCGCCCAGTGACTGCCCCGAGGCTGCGTGGGAGCGGGTCGGGACTGGAAGAGCCTCAGCCTGAGGGTTACCTCCTTCCTGGACACCCAGCTCCTCAGGGCTCAGGAAGGCGTCCTCCTCACCACCATCTTGTCTAGTGAGCCTCCCGAAAACTGATGAAGTCGGGCAGTGCGCAGCCCGCAGGTGAAAGGGATAAGTACCAGGACCAGAGAAAGAGGGTTTAGAAGAAAGGCCTGCTGTCAGTTGTTGGGGGTGGGTGTGCACAGAAGAAAGTGTTGACGTCTCTTTTCTTTTTTCCGTAGCTGTAGCAGGTCAAACGATGCCCAGCATCCCAACCATGTGAGCGCTTTTGTTTTGTATCTGAAAAAGGAAGGGGAGTGGGACCGAGGGATGAAGAGCAAGCTCCACGTGTGAAGGTTGCCTCATGGGACTGACAGTTATTGACCAAACACCCTGACAGGGCCCTTGAGAAGGGAAAGGGGCCCAGGGAGGGTAAAGTGAAAGAGGAAGGCGAGCATGAAGTTTCCCTGACTCTCCACCCACCTCCGAAACGGAGACTCTTTTCCTTCTCTCCTATCAGGCGGCGCCTCACAATTGATGATTTTGAAATCGGGCGTCCTCTCGGCAAGGGAAAATTTGGGAATGTGTACCTGGCTCGGCTCAAGGAAAGCCATTTCATTGTGGCCCTGAAAGTCCTCTTCAAGTCCCAGATAGAGAAGGAAGGACTGGAACACCAGCTGCGCAGAGAAATTGAAATCCAGGCACATCTACAGTAAGGACAGTCTCTGTATGAGATTCCTGTTACAGGTTCTTTTTTTCACTTGTTCCTGTTTCCTCTTCCATCTCCGACATCTGAACTCATCATTTCCCCCAATACTACCCCCAAATAGGCCCTTTGCTTTCACCTTGAAGATTTTTTTTTTTAACATCCTTATTGGAGTATAATTGCTTTATGAAGATTTTTTTCTCTGCAGTTCATTCCAGTTACACCATGTAAAGCTCCCTGTGTCAGACATCAGAATCTTGATGCCTGTTTCATTTTCCCCTCACAAACTTCCAGATCATGCTGTTACTATTCTGGTCCCAGCACAATTTGCCCCTTGGGTGACCAGTCACTTGTAATAGCATCATGAATTGGGCCTCAGGGAGGAGTCTTGACACTTCCTCCTTCTGTTGCGCAGACACCCCAATATCCTACGCCTGTACAACTACTTCCATGATGCACGCCGGATGTACCTGATTCTAGAATATGCTCCAAGGGGTGAGCTCTACAAGGAGCTGCAAAAGAGCCACACATTAGATGAACAGCGTACAGCCACGGTGAGGTGGGAGGCTGAGGGCTTGGGTTCATGAGTTTCCTATGGGCTGATGGGGGTCACTGCTTGTGGTGGTCATGAGTATCCAGATTGCTTTTTTCTTTATTTCTGAATTTCAGTCTATAAATTTTATATAATGACTCTTATATCCTACAACTTCACATTTGGATACCCTAATTACCCCCAGAATATTAATAAATTGTGTGTGTAAGTTTGGATTCTTTGGTTGTAAGCAACAGAATCTAAGTGTGCTACCTTATGGAAAGAAACATGAAAGACTCTATGGCAGTTCACTGAATAAATGAGTGGAACTGACTTTGAAATAGGAAGCAAGAGATTTTTGGGGGGCTCCAGATGGGAAATCACAGCAATAATCATCCCATGGCCAGCTCCATTTCCAGACTGCTTTTTCTTTGCTCACACAGGTAATGGAGGAGTTGGCAGATGCTCTGACCTACTGCCATGAAAAGAAGGTGATTCATAGGGATATTAAGCCAGAGAACCTGCTGCTGGGGTTCAGGGGTGAGGTGAAGATTGCAGACTTTGGCTGGTCTGTGCACACCCCCTCTCTAAGGTAGGTCAGGTGGTGGCACCCTGGGTGCCGGTTAAGAATGATCCAGTTTGATTTATTTCACACGTAAGATCCAGATACAAGCCTAGGTTTGTATTTAAATACTACCTTTTTCAAATGCCTATATTTAATGTGTATTTGTAGACTGAAAGAATGTGGTTCAACCATTTAACAGAGATTAATCTCTGTTAACATATAACTTTACCAATAACTTTCCATGTAAATAAATTAAGAACCATTGCTCCATAATTCCAGGAATTTTACTGTATGAATAAACCATAATTAATTTACTTCGTCCCTCTTGGTGTACCATCAGTTTGTTCCAAATCTTCCTTGTGAAAATATCCTGGATCGTGAGCTAAATAATTGTATGAAGAATTCTAAAATATGGAGAGACTTCCCTGGTGGTCCAGTGGTTAAGACTCTGTGCTTCCACTGCAGGGGGGCACGGGTTTGATCCCTGGTTGGAGAACTAAGATCCTGCATGACGTGCAGCACCTCCAAAAAAAAAAAAATGTTCTAAAATATGGAGTTGGTGGATCCCAGTACTTGCCTTCTTCAAACCTTGATCTGTATTGAAATTTGGTGTTTCCAAATTCCTGTGCCTGGGAGAGGGCTGCCAGGATTTCCTAGGGTCTCCTGTCTCATTGAAAGCTGGGGAAGGAGTTTCCCTTATACTGATCCTCTGCTTAGTGCTCCTTTCTCTGCCCTCTAGGAGAAGGACAATGTGTGGGACACTGGACTACTTGCCCCCAGAAATGATTGAGGGGAGAACATACAATGAGAAGGTGGATCTATGGTGCATTGGAGTGCTCTGCTACGAGCTGCTGGTGGGAAATCCGCCCTTTGAGAGCCCCTCCCATAATGAGACCTACAGACGCATCCTCCAGGTGGGAAGGCCACACTCTGGGCATTCATGTGGGAGCTAGTCAGTGGGGGCTGGTGGGCCTGCGTAGCCCAGGGCACACACAAAGATTGTCTGCTAAGATCCCGAACAGTGCCTTGAATGGACCAAGGAAATTAACCATACTTCCCTTTCTTCTGTGGCCTCATCAGGTAGATGTAAGGTTTCCCCCATCAATGCCTTTGGGGGCTCAGGACTTGATCTCCAAGCTTCTCAGATACCAGCCCTCGGAGCGGTTGCCCTTGGTCCAGATCTTGGAGCACCCATGGGTCCGGGCCCACTCTCGGAGGGTGCTTCCCCCATCTGCTCAAATGGTTTCCTGAGCCCTGTATACCCCTAATCCTTTGTGATTGCTCATGGAGCCCCCTTGGCTCTGGTATCTACTGTCTTTTGTTTCTTCTCTTTTACGATGCATCTTGCTAATTAATAAAAGCTGAATCATTTTGTACCAGGTCTTTATAGTTGCATGAGTTGGTGTGTGATTGAGTAGAATCTTTATTTTATTTATTTATTTATTTATTTTTGGTCGCACCACACAGCATGCGGGATCTTAGTTCCCCGACCAGGGATTGAACCTACGCCCCCTGCAGTGGCAGCACAGAGTCTTACCAGGGAAGTCCCTAGAATCTTTATTTCTGTAGAAACTGTTTCCCATGAGAGCAGCCCAAAATGATGCCCTTCCTGGGCCGCAGGTTTTGTGACTTAACGACTCTTCTTGAAAACAAGTTACTACTTTATGCAAATAACCACCCTGGTGGTGCATAACCTACCACCTATCCCAGTGGCTCCTAGACTCAACTCACTTTCCCAATATTTTCAGGAGTATGTCATTTGTAAAACAGTACACTAATCAATCCAGAGGTCCATTCTCTTTATACTGACATCCAACATGGTGCCATCTTCAAGATAAAATGTTTCACTGCACATCAATGCCATCCAATTCTCAAATGAATTCACTAGCACTTACGCGGTGTTGTCATATTATTGCGTCAGGATAAATCATCCCTGATAATAAATGTATCTTCAACCTCTTCTGAAATCATGTGCTCTGCTTGCAGCAATTTTGGGAGTTTTCTTCCAACATTCCCCTACATCCTCCTGTTGCAGTTTTTTGTGGCAGCTGCTCCCTTCATTTACAATAAGCTTGACTGCACCAGAGTAAACATCCAGACTACTCAGCGAGGAGCTCAAACATGTTTTCTGATCATTTTGGGCATCTTTTTCACCACTGTGTCTCCTGACTAAAAACACTCCACTTAGAGTTTACCCTGTTAATGTTACTTCCACCACCATATCCTATACATTCTCCTCAATGTGAAATGTCCAGCAGATGCAGGACCACATTCCTATATGACCAGAACCACTAAGTAAATACAAGCTATTCAGCCACTCCACTCTAAGATGAACAGCCCTACCATTGCAGATCCATCATTTAAATGCTCCAAGGGAATTCCCTGGCGGGCCAGTGGTTGAAACTCCGCGCTTTCACTGTGTGCAACCAAAAAAAAAAAAAAAAAAATGCTCCAAGACATTGGCTCATAGTTTTTTCACCTGCACCTTCAGTGCTCCTTGGTTCCCCAAAGTTGTGTCCCCTGTGAAGAGGCGGGTCTGTTTCAGGGCTCTGGGTCTCTTAAGTCTTTTTTCTTTTTGCCGTGCCTTGCAGCTTGTGGGATCTTAATTCCCCCACCAGGGATCGAACCCAGGTCCCGGGCAGTGGAAGCGCGGAGTCCTAATCACTGGACTGCCAGGGAAGTACCCCTGGGCCTCCTAAGTCATTTACATGGAGGAATAACGGCTCTGGAACGCGCTCCGAGGCCCGTTGTTTGTTAAGAAAAAACTACATTACCCAGAAGGCGATGCACCGCGCGTCTGTAGCAGGCGCTGGACCAATGACGGCCCAGGGCGGGGGTATTTCCTGCGCAGGGGAGGGACTTCCGACCCCATTGGCTGTAGATGTCATTAGCGCGCGACTGTTCCGTCCACGCCAGCTGTGGGGAGGGGATAGCAGTTCAGTGGCCGCTTCTAGTGCGGCTCTTCGCAAATGAGCAGAAAGGAGGCTAGGGCTCCCCTCCGCGCATTTGAGCGAGCGGTGAGCCTCCGCTCTATCGGCCACCCAGCCCAGGGCAGGGAACGGGTGGTGGTCGGCTGAGCCCGCGGTACCCGCCTCTGTCGCCGCCTCTACGGGCCCCGCTCTCGCCTCAGGGTCCCATGATGGCGTCGGCGTGGATGGACCCGACGCGGGTGAGTGGACCATGTTTCTGGCCTTGCTGCTTCTCTTCTGGTTCGGAGAGGGCTCCTGAGCAGGGTGGAAGTCAAGAGAGGCGCTAGATTTCTCTTTGCAGTTGTGTTTGTGTACGACCAGTGGAGCTGGCTCGTCACTGACTTTATTTCCAGTCTTAGAACATGCGAGACTGAATATGCAAATGGAAAATAGACCGCGTATAAAAATAGAACTTTGACAAACAACCTGACCCGTAATCCGGTCCCTTATCTACAATCAACAACCCAGGAGTCTAGCCCGGCCTAAGACTTGCCAGAAGCCAGATTCCTATCTCTAGAGACAGTCCAGGAAGAGAAACAGTGACTTATGTAACTTCGGCCCCAAATGGCCAGGACTTGATTAATAATTGACCCTTTCCCTAATCCTTGTCCCCACTTCCAACTTAAAACCAACCAGAGAAAGCCATCCATATGTGCGCCCTTAAACAATCATAGAGGATGCTGTAGGATTACTTGCCAGAGAGTTTTGATTAATTAAACGTATATCATCTGGTAGTCAATGTTGAAGCCCTAGTTAATTTTTCTATCCTTACCTACCTGCCAAAATGTGCCCAGTAATATGAGTTTATCCAGTACCAGAAATGAGTAATATTGCAGGGTTCCTAGGTATGAACCAGTCAATTTATTAGGAATTTCTGGGTCTTTAATTGAAATATTAACTCAAGAAAGCTGTTAGGATGAAGCTAGAAAGCAGAGAGATGTGAGCACTGAAAGTGCAGGTGAAAAACCATGAGGCGATGTCTTGGAGCATTTAAATGATAGATCTGCATTGGTGGGGCTGTTCATCTGAGAGTGGAGTGGCTGGATTTTTTATATTTACTTAGTGGTTCTGGTCACATAGGGATGTGGTCCTGCATCTGCTGGACATTTCATATTGAGGAGAATGTATAGAATATGGTGGTGGAAGTAACATTAACAAGGAAAACTCTGTATGGAGTGTGTTTAATCAGGAGATACTGGTGAAAACGATGGCTTAAGAGCTAGGGACTTAGTTGCTTTGAGACAACATAAAGCACTCAGCATGGGGACCAGCAGGTAGTAGGACCAGTGAAGCTCAGGTACTGCTGTTGTTAACGTTATTGATATTATCATCACTTACTCAGTCCTCTGACATCCTAGAGTCCTTTCTGTCTGCATCTCAAAGTTCCAATGTCATTTCCATTGACTTGTGTCATTTTCCAATGGCTCCTGCGTAGTAGGCTCCTCTCTCTTACACTATAGGCGTACCTCGCTGTATTGTACTTCATAGATACTGTGTTTTTACGATTGAAGTTTTGTGGCAACCCTGCATCCAGCAAGCGTTTCAGCATTCACTTACCTCGTGTCTCTGTGTCACATTTTGGTAGTTCTCACAATAGTTCAGACCCTCCACCCACAAAAAGATTACAGCTCACTGAAGGCTCAAGATGATGGGTAGCATTTTTTAGCAATAAAGTACTTAAAAAAATTTTTTTTCCTTCTTGCTTTTCAGTTTATTCCTTTTTTAAAATTTTATTTTTATTGGAGTATAGTTGCTTTACAATATTGTGTTAGTTTATACTGTACAGCAAAGTGATTCAGCTATACGTATACATATATCCCCTCTTTTTTGGATTTCCTTCTCATTTAGGTCACCACAGAGCATTGAGTAGAGTTCCCTGTGCTATACAGTAGGTGGCAATAAAGTACTTTTTTTTTTTAATTTTTAATTTTTTGGCTCCGTTGGGTGTTCATTGCTGCGCACGGGCTTTCTTTAGTTGTGGCAAGCGGGGGCTACTCTTTGTTGCAGTGCGCGGGCTCCTCACTGCGGTGGCTTCTCTTGTTGTGGAGCATGGGCTCTAGGTGTGCGGGCTTCAGTAGTTGTGGCTCTCAGGCTCTAGAGTGCAGACTCAGTAGTTGTGGCACATGGGCTTAGTTGCTCCGCGGCATGTGGGATCTTCCCAGACCAGGGATCAAACCTGTGTCCCCTGCTTTGGCAGGTGGATTCTTAACCACTGCGCCACCAGGGAGGTCCCTAAAGTAATTTTTAATTAAGGTGTCTACATTATTTTTTTAGACATAATGCTATCGTACACTTAATAGACTGCAGTATAGTGTAAATATAACTTTTATATGCTCCTGGAAACCAAAAAAATCATGTGACTGGCTTTATTGGAGTGGTCTGGAACCAAACCCCCAATATCTCCAAAGTATAGCTGTATTGTATTATGTCCAAAGCATTGTCCACCTCCCCTTCAGCCCAGTGCAGAGGAAGTACCCAGTGATTAGGGCCTTGATCTTGCTGCACCTTTACCAGCGATGCAGAGACGGGCTCTGATCCCATCCAACCATGCCAAGGCTAATGCTACTATCTCTGTTTGACATTCCAGGTGTCTGTGACCTTCGATGATGTGGCTGTGACTTTTACCCAGGAGGAGTGGGGGCAGCTGGACCTGGATCAGAGGACCCTGTACCAGGAGGTGATGCTGGAAAACTGTGGGCTTCTGGTGTCTCTGGGTAAGGCCTTGCCACTTTGCCGTGCAGAGGACCTGCCACCTCCTTTATCCCAAACTCTGGCTCTGTCTTGGCTGGTCAAGACGGCCTCGGGAGCCCTTCCTCCCTTTTCCTCACAACTTCAGTCATTTTTGAGATTCATCTCTTCCTGCCTGCTATCCCTGTGTCTCTTTGAATAAAGTTCCTTTTTGGCTCCTAGAAAATGATGGAAGGAAACAGGGGTGTTCTGCAGAGCCCAAAGGCAGAATTTCTTGTTGGGCCATATGATGGACTGATGTAGGAACTGGGAACCACCAGGATTATGCCCTGACTTCTGGATCTCCTGTCCTGGTTTTCCCTCTGGCTTTGTTCACGTCTCTGTCTTTTCAAAATGGCTTTTGTGCTTCAGCAAGTTTGTGACAGGAGTGGCTACCCCAGTCCCTGCTCTCTGGGGCCCCAAGATACCTTGTTTCTACTTTTTTGCATACTTATATTGTTTCTCTTTTTTTCTTTCTCTGCTGCTGGGCTCCAGGGATGGAGGCAGTGCAGGAGTGGCCACCTGAGCCCATACTTCCCTGAGCCTCTACCCCAGTGCCCAGCACAGACTGGCCTCTGAGGTTCTTGTTTCACATTCCAGACAGGGAGCTGACTGGGTGGGACTGGTTGGCTCATGTATCCCCTGCAACCCAGTCCACAGGGCTGTGAGTGATGGGATGGTCTCCAGGAAGAGGGTGAGGCAGGTGGGGCCTCGGGAGGTTTTTGCCTTCAGTGCCAACAGGTATTGTTCTAAACCACAGGATCTCGGTTATGGGGCTTTTCTGTTCTCCTGTGCCTTCATGATTGTCTCTTGTTCCCTGAGTCCTGGCCAAGATCCAAGAGAGTGAAGCTGAGACAGTTATGCTTCTCAGTACTTGGTTTTGTCCCCAGGAGACATTTGGAAGTCTGCAGCCACATTTGACTGTCACACCTGGGGTGTGGGTGGTCCTGGCATCTAGCAGGTTAGAGTCCAGAGATGCTGCTTACTACCTGAGGATGGACAAGACAGCCCCATTCAACAAAGGTTGATCCAGCCCACAAGGGCAAGAGAGCCAAGGTGGAGAAACAGCAGCCTGAGGATAATCACTTTAGACCTCTCAGTTTGAGGGAAAGGAAAGCTGTAAATCCAGGGCATAGGGTAAGACATGCCTGTTTTTAGAGAATTGGGATTGTATTCTGTGTTAATGAGAAGAGGTTATACAAAATTAGGAAACGTTTGACATATTTAGATATTTTATAACAAAATTTTAAAAATAAGAAGGTCCACTATCTGGCCCTGCTGACCCTTCACTCTCCTCCCCATGCTTTCCCTGAGCTCACTCTGCTCTGATCACGCTGGTGTCTTGCTATTTCCTGTGCACGTACTTAACGTACTTGCCTCGGGCCTCTGCAGTTGCTGTTCTCTATGCCTGGTGGGTGTGGGTGTGCTTGGGCTTTTCACATGGCTACCCCTTCTCAGCACAGTCACCACCTCCTCACCAGCTGTTTCCTGATCACGAAATCTCTTGGAGGCCCCTCCCCTGTCACAGTCGCTTTTTCCCGTCACCCTATTTATATCCTTGTAAGCCAGTGGTTCTCATTCAAGGATGATGTTGTCCCCCAGAGGACACATGACAATGTCTGGAGACATTTGGGTTGTCCCAACTGGGATGTAGATGCTACAGGCATCTATTGAATGGAGACCTGGAACGCTTCTACACATCTTTATGCTGCACAGGACATACGTACTCCCTCCCCTTCTCAACAAAGAATTGCCTGGATCTAAATGTCAGTTGAACAGAGGCTGAGAAACCCTGTTTCTGAAGGCTCACGGACACTTCACCAGGGACACTGAGAGACACCCCGAGGAAGCCATTCCTTTATTCTGTGTCCTCCCTGATTATGTAGTGAAAATCCGGGTTCAGTACTGAACACCTCCCCCCACCCCCACTATTGCTAATTTCCCATTTTCAACAGAGGGAGCCCCGTCCCTGAGCAGCAGCATGAGCTCGCTGGCACTTAACCTCACCCTTTGGAGTTTTTTGTTGTTGTTGTTGTTGTTTTGTTTGTTATTTTTGGTACGCGCGCCTCTCACTGTTGTGGCCTCTCCTGTTGCGGAGCACAGGCTCCGGACGCGCAGGCTCAGAGGCCATGGCTCACGGGCCCAGCCGCTCCGCGGCATGTGGGATCTTCCCAGACCGGGGCACGAACCCGTGTCCCCTGCGTCGGCAGGCGGACTCTCAACCACTGCGCCACCAGGGAAGCCCCATCCTTTGGATTTTATTGCTGCCTTTTCAGGTTGACCTGCCATCGACTCAAGTGACTCTGGGTTTCTGTTTCCCATTTATCAGAGCTAAACAGGATTCCCTTTTTGTTTTTATTGTTGTTGTTTTTGCGGTACGCGGGCCTCTCATTGTTGTGGCCTCTCCCATTGCGGAGCACAGGCTCCGGACGCGCAGGCTCAGCAGCCATGGCTCACGGGCCCAGCCGCTCCGCGGCATGTGGGATCTTCCCGGGCCGGGGCACGAACCCGTGACCCCTTCATCGGCAGGCGGACTCTCAACCACTGCACCACCAGGGAAGCCCAGGATTCCCTTTTGTTTTGTTTTGTTTTTACAATGAGGATTCCCTTTTTGAACGAATGTAAGAAAAATAAAAAGTGGGTCACTTTTAAGAAAAATATTAATGTTAATGCTAGTCACAGCTCACTCTGGTCATTGGAGGACTGACTGCATATCAGGCCTGTTCCAGGCACGCATTTGATTCTCATGCTCTCCTGGTCCTTAGCAAAGTCAGGAAAACTCAGCTACTGCACTGAGTCTCATACAGCTGAACTTACCCAGTAAAGAACATACACTTTCATTGATGAAGCTTCCTCTGTGGGTTTATTTTAAGCAACAATCCTTTTATGAAATACTGATGAAAGTAGATGTTATTTGATGTTTCTATAAATGTCCAACGTGACCATACACCACTGTGTAGGATTCTCAATTTTATTATTTTCTAGTAGTTCATGAAACGCTGAAATCTAGGGTCACTGAGTCTGCCACACCCACCCTGGCCCCTGTTCCCAGCGGGTGAATCTTCGTGCTCACATCCCTGCCTCACAACTGCCCTGCACTCGGTCTCAGGATGCTGGCCCCACTCAGGGGTGTTTGCTGTTTCCTCCTTAGTGTAGTGCTGGGGAGCCCAGGCTCCAGAGCCAGACTCTTATGTTCAGTCCCCACTCTGCTCCTTAAAACCTTGTGGTCCTGGGCAAATTACTGAAGCTGTCTGTGCCTTGGGGTGCTCGTTGGTAAAATGGGGTAAGATGGTATCTACTTGCCGGGGCCGTAGCAAGGGTACATGGCTAACTTATGGGAAGGGGTCAGAACTGTGCCTCGTGTGACCAGGTTACGTGCAGGTTAGCAGTTGAGAAGCTTGCTGCCGTCACTACCGTTGTTACTCCTCAGGAGTCTCATTATCCCCATGCCTGGATCCAGCACCTTCTGGAACAGTGTTGTGTAGCCTTGTGGTAAAACAGCACACAGAGCAGAGATGGCTAGACCTGGGCTCCATATTGGCTCAGCCATTCACCAATTCTGGCCTCTTTGGCAAATCACATTATCTGCCTGAGCATGGTTTCTGTATGGTTTTTATCTATAAAATAGGGCTACTCACAGACATAGAACACAAACTTATGGTAAGCAAAGTTGGGGGGTGGGGTGTGAGGGATAAATTAGGAGTTTGGGATCAACAGATACACACTACCATATATAAAATAGATAAACAACAAGGTTCTACCGTATAGCACAAGGAACTATATATATTCAATATGTTATAATAACCTATAATGGAAAAGAATCTGAAAAAGAATATATATGTGTATGTGTGTGTGTATATATATAAATACACTGAATCACTTTGCTGTACACCTGAAACTAATCTGACGTTGTAAATGAACTATAATTTTTTAAAAAGTGGTGCTGATCACAATATGTACTTGCTGGGAATGCTGTGAGGAAACCCTAGGATAGAATCCTCTGTGGCCTATAGGAAGAACAATACAAAACTTTGCTTGGGTTCTAAAAAAAGAACTGGATCAATGAAGACACATAACTTGTTTTGAATGAAAAGAGTCAATTTTCTTTTTTTTTGGCTGCACGATGCAGCTTGCGGGATCTTAGTTGCCCAGCAGGGATTGAACCCATTGCCCCCTGCAGTGGAAGCACAGAGTTCTAATCAGTGGACCGCCAGGGAATTCCCAAGAGTCAATATTTTAAATATGTTAATTGTTTAAATTACTCCATAAATTTATTTCAATTTTGAAATGATGTAATGCATTTAAGTTGCTTGAACACAGTCCTTTTACTACGATTATACACTATATGTTAGTTTTTGACTTAGGAATAAAAACTCCATGGCAGTGTGGCATGTCTTTGGTTTCCAGTTCACAGTACAGCATTTTGTATATGCATGGGAGCAGCTTCATTCTGAGGTCTTGCCCACATCCTGAAGTCCCACACTAGATCGAGAGGTTTTCTTTGTTTTCACAGAAATCCTAGTGTCTTCTTCCTTTCTCCATGAACAGGGTGTCCTGTTCCCAGATCTGAGCTGATCTACCAACTGGAGCAGGGGCAGGAGTTGTGGACAGTGAAGAAAGACCTCTCCCGAAGCACCTGTCCAGGTAGGAGCCAAGGTTTGGGCAGCTGGGAAACCCTGCAGGGGAAGGTCGCTGGCCCTGGTTCCTTGGGGAAGTGTCTTGTTCGGGCGTCTGTGGTGGTCTGGAGGCCACGGAGCCCTTTGACCCCAGGTCCCTCTGTCCTCCTGGAGGATAGAGGTGCATGAGCTGAGATGTGTCTTGGGCTCCAGCTGCCTGGGCTTCAAGCCTGGGTGCCGACCGATCACCAGCTCTGTGGCCCTGGTGAACTTCGGGATCTCCTTGTGTCTTTGTATATATAAGTATGACTAAGTTAAATCTTAGCTGCCATGTCAGACTCCAGCGTCTTGGTGCTCAGCATATGGAAGCACTTGTTCTTTTTTTGTATTTCTTTTGCCACGACTCGCAGCATGCAGGATCTTAGTTCCCCGACCAGGGGTCGAACCCGTGACCCCTGCAGTGGAAGTTTGGAGTCTTAACCACTGGACCACCAGGGATGTCCCTGGAAGCACTTTTTCTGAGGCACACCCGGTCCGTGTGACTGTGCATCACACAGCTGTTCAGGAACCCGGGTCCACTCTGCCGTCAGCATGTGGCTTGAAGGTTGTCCTGACCTGCAGCAGGCAGAGGAGAGTGAGAGGGCAAGGAAGACTCGCACAAACGCCAGCCCCCCGCTTCCACTGATAGGCACTAGGCACTTGGCCACACTCGGGGGATGGGGCTGGGAGATGGGGCTGAGCCATGTGTCCAAGTGGAGGAGCAGATGGTTTGGCGAGTGTGGTCTGCTGCGCTCAGTCTGTTCCTGATAGTTCCTCCGTCCTTGGGTTGCTGGGGACGTGGTCATATAACGCATTAAAGCATAAAACCGCTTAGCACAGCGTCTGCACCGCAGTCAGTGGCTCGTGGGAAGTAAGCCGTTGGTGTCATTCATGTCCCTGTATTGTAATGAGTAATGCATCTCACGTTTCCCTCTGACCTCTGAGGAAAAGGGCCTTCCTTCCTCTCCGAGCGCCTCTCCAGCTCTCTTCTGCCTCCCCTTTCCCACCCTGTCCAGATACTCAAGAAGCCTTCCCTTGTTGCATGTCTCCGTACTCCTCCTGTTTGGTAAAACCTGACGGTGACATTTGTCCTGCTGTGCCCCACATCTGGGCTGCTGAGGGCACTGGGGCCGCCGTGTGGTGATGGGGCCCCTGCAGAGTCGTGCTCTTTCCCTCCTAGTCCCTCGGGCGGCCCCACCAGCCTGCGAGTGTCTGTGTGCAGCCCGTCGACAGCCCCTCAGAGGGGCAGTTCCGAGCCTCTGCCTTCTGCTCTCTGCCTTTCTCCACCTGAATATCTCAGAGGCACCCAGTCAACATGCCTGGCAAGGAACCCGTTACGATGCTCACTCCTTCCTCTCCCAAGTTAGAGCGCATGGTCCTGCCGTCTAGGCAGGTTGGAGACTGGATACAGCCCCAGAGACTGTATCCTCACCCCTCCACCTCTATCGGCCCCTATATCCGGCTACCTCCCACATCCCGTCCATTTTACATCACGTACATCTCCTGAATCTGTCACTTCTACCACCTCCCATCAGATCTGTCCCCACATTCTGAGTCCAAGGTCTCATCATCTTTTCCTTGCGGGATGCTAGTAGTTCCCCTAACTGGTCTCTACATCTGCTTTATGCCTCTGGTCAGCTCTCTGTCCTGCATGAGCTACCCCAGGTGTAGCCATAGATGCCTCAGCATGTGACCACTAATGTGTCAGCAAGTTTTCATGTTGAAAGTAAAGTCTGCCTCATATTGCTTGATCTTCAGCCCTTCCACACTCATTTGGACTCTCCTATCTGTAGCTTCTCTTTTCACCTAGTTGAAGAGGTCTTGCCCCTGGGCATGGCCAGTTCCGACATCAGAATCTGGAAAATAGCTTTTCATGAAAGTGCCTTTATCACTTATATTCTGCTTGTTTTATAACTTTATCCTTTTCTCTGCTCAAAGTAAAAATATGCTGAAGTTCCTTACAGTGAAGAAAATAAATTAAAAATATTCCTGTCTCACATTGTATTCATCCATTGTCTGCAGCATTTAATTGTTCACATTTTTTCACTCTCACAGTGCTGCCAATAACATTTGTATATATTGGTCATCTTGCTCATGTTTAGGCTGTCTTTTAATGTTTCTTAGAGTGAAACTGTTGGATTATAGGCTGTGCAAATTCTCAAGTTTACAAGATAATTCCTGTTATGTTCTAAAGGGGCTAAACCAATTACACTTCCACCAGGAAAGAATGGAGGTTTCTTCAACCCATACCTTGACCAATACCTGGTATTATAAGGCTCCTCAATTTTTGACAATCAAGTGAATACAGAATTGTATCCCACATGGTTTTGATTTGCTTTTCCTTCGTTCATAAGGAACTTTAGCACCTTATTGTATGATTGTGAGTCAATCTATGAATTAAGTTTTCTTCTTTGAAATGTCATTTCATGATAAACGTCTATTTTATTCTATTGACTTGTTTGCATTTTCTTGTGTTTTAACAAATTTATTTATTTATTTATTTTTGGCTGCGTTGGGTCTTTGTTGCTGTGTGCAGGCTTTCTCTAGTTGCGGCGAGCGGGGGCTACTCTTTGTTGTGGTGTGTGGCCTTCTGATTGCGGTGGCTTCTCTTGTTGTGGAGCACAAGTTCTAGGTGTGCGGGCTTCAGTAGTTGAGGCACGCAGGCTCAGTAGTTATGGCTTGTGGCCTCTAGAGTACAGGCTCAATAGTTGTGGCACACAGGCTTAGTGGCTACGTGGCATGTGGGATCTTCCCAGACCAGGGCTCGAACCCGTGTCCCCTGCGTTGGCAGGCAGACTGTGCCACCAGGGAAGCCCTGCATTTTCTTTCTGATTTGTAGGGATTCTTTGTGCATTACTCATGTTATCTTTTTTTGTGGGTATGGTAAAAAGCAGATAGTGTAAAATATATCATCTTAGCCATTTTTAAGTATACATTGAGTGGTATTAAATAGAGTCATAATGTCGTGCAGGTATCACCACCAGCCTTCTCCATAACTCTTCATCATTTGAAACTCTGTGCCCATTATACAGTAATCCCCCTATGTCCCTACCATGCCCTGCCCCTGGCAACCACAATCTTTCTGTGTCCGTGATTTTTTTTTTTTTTTTCATTAGGAGAGAATTTTATTTTAAAAGTGTCATCTTAAACTGCAAGGATGTCCGTTAAACATCACAATTAAACATGCCAAAGGAGAAGCCATGTTGTCAAAATGCCCACTTAACCCACCCAAACATCTCAAACCCACCCTTTGCTGACCTTCTATAACCCCATTTTTTTAAGTTTTTTTTTTTCTTTTTTTAAACAAGAGAAAGTAGACAGATACATGTTGGTAAATGCTAACTGTCCATATTCACATAGAGACACAGTGTAATCTCTGAGCCCAATATACAGAGAAAGGAGGAAAAAAGCTAGAATTCTATGCACTACTACACAGGGGCCTAGCACCCTCCAGCTTCCAGCAGAGCTAAGGGAGCAGAAGGTTTTTCTTTTTTCCCACAGAGCATGATGGTGTTGATTCCATAAAGTTTTTGTTGAGACAGGAAGGGATAAAAATGAATTTGGAACAGAAAAGGGTAGAGATTCTTTTCCCACTGAATTCTGCTCAAGGTATTTCCCCCCAAAATAAGTTGTGAGCCATGGTATAAAGGAGAAAAGAGACCTCAAAAACAGGGCAACTGAGCACAAGAGGAGAAGGAGAAAAAAAAACAAAAAAGACTGCAACTTGCTCCCAGGGACTGGAGAAAATTAAAAAAGGAAGGTTGGAATCCATCAGTGTTCCATTAGTCATCTTCTCCTTCATCTTCCTCTCCTTCCTCCCCCTCATCATCATCTTCATCTTCTTCACCTTCATCCTCATCCCCTTCTTCATCAATATCTTCCAATCCTTCTTCCTCTTCATCATCATCATCATCTTCTTCTCCTTCCCCTTCCTCATCATCCATGTCTGGAACCAAGTAGTACTGTAATGGATTTGGCCAAATATCATCTTTGATGACCTCTCCTAACTCATCTGCACCTGCATCAAAATGATCAGTAAACCAGGTGAAGAAGCTTTCTGGTTCCTCATGCTGTCTCTTCCTGCTGGCTTTATTCTGAGTTTGACTTGAACGTTTTGTCAAATCCTTTCCGGATTTCCATTTGATTTCAGTGGACTTTGAAGATGGATCACCACTCTCATTCAGATGAAATTCTTTGGAGAGAACTTTATTTTCAAAGTAAGGGTTTTCATCAAAATAAAAATCTATTCTGTAACCTGATTTAATATCTTCAAATTCTGTCACTTCAACTCTTGTCAAATAATGCAGCGCCTCTTCATCCTCCTCCCCAAGCAGTGCAGACACTTGTGGATGGTTAACAAATGTTGTTACCCAAAAATTTGGGATTTTGGCGATCAATTCCGACCTCTTCTGAAAAAACGGTTGGCGGAGTTTGTTATATTTCTGTTCTACTTTCAAAATCTCCTCACTGGCTTGTTCGTTAAGTCTGTCTATTTCATTTTGTACTTCATCAGTATGTTCAATTGCTTCTTGCTGTTCTTTTTCTTCCTTCGGCAAGTTCGGAGAAGCAGACTTTTCCTCTGGCCTGGAGGCAGGAGTCCGTCTCGGTTTCTTGTGTCCGTGATTTTTGACTACTCTATGTACCTCATGTAAATGGAGTCACACACTATTTTGTGTGTGTGACTGGCTTATTTCACTCAACATAACGTCCTCAAGGTTTATCCATGTTGTAGCATGTGTTAAAATGTCATTCCCTTTTAAGGCTCAGTAATATTCTTGTGTGTGTGTGTGTGTGTGTGTGTCTCAGTCTCACATTTTACTTATCCATTCATCCCTTGGTGGAAACTTGGGTTGCTTCTATGTTTTAGCTATTGTGAATGATGCTGCTGTGAACATGGGTGTACAAATGTCTTTGAGACCCTGATTTCAATTCTTTTGAATTGAAAGAATTCATATAACAAGAAATGGAATTACTGAATCATGTAGTATC